TGCTGCTAACATATGCCGAAATTTCATTGCTTCCTTCCGCTATTAGAGGAAAAAAAGAACAGACACAAAAGTATAAATCGCGTAGTCTGCCGTCATAGCGAAGTTTTGAGAAAATGGGCCTAGAAGCTTCTGAGTGGAACATTTTATTAAGAGAAGCCTCCGTTCTTTGTCAAATCGCAACCAATCATTCGATTGACTCTTAGAAATCATTTAGGGGATTAAAACTGATCGCGAGAACGGTGCTAGATTCTAACTTTTCCAACTTATCTCAATTGCGATGTCAAAATTGTTCTCTATGGGAAGAATCGAGTAAAAGTTACCGGACGTTCCGCAGCGATGGTCTTTAAAAACGCGATGCTTCCGATTGAAGTCGCTCGCCTTTCGGACATCATGCTAAACAGAAATGCGTGATACAACTATATCAACACCTGAGCCGCTCAAATTGTATCCATCGAATTGAAGGCGAACTTGATTTCTCCTGTCTGGTTTGAGTTATTCAGATATGAGCGTGAGAGCGGAGCTAAATTCTAAATTTTGCAACTTTTTGTGAACTTAATATCTAAGTATAATTATAATCTATTTGCGGTAGAAAATATTTAAATATTTTGACGAAAAGAAAGAATTCCAACGTTCCGCGGCGAAGTGTATAACTTTTCAGAGTTCGGAAAAATTTTCTGGCTATTTTCAGTTTGCAATGACTTCTCAAGAGCTGATTATCCATGATTGCAAAAACACAAGAAGGTGCGATTTTCGCTCGCTTCGAATCGAGAAGTATCAGACAAGATTCGAAATTTCTGGACTTTTATTCGACTTCCCGGTTTTTCATCACCTATTGACAGACATTACTCGCTCTCCCATCACCTTCGTAATCCTGAAAATCGTGAAAATAATGGCAAGGCGAAAAACAATGATTGAAATATAGAAAAGACTTGAGGACCTAAGTACTCGTACTTGACGTAGGGTGTGTAACAGAATAAGAAGAACTATCTAACTAACTTTTTCCCTGATTATCGATGCATTATGCGAATGTTATTAGTACTATGCCCGCACTACCAGCATTCACAAGCTTCGTAGAAGAATCCTTCGGATTATAAGGGTAGTCCACAAATACATTTATTCTCAACGGTCTCGCCTGGGTCCTTACTTAGTTGCGTCAAAAATATTTGGCTTCCTGAAAAAGTTCTCATCGAAATGATACGATGACATCAGGCACATCTGGGAGACAAGTGCTGCCCAATTTTGCGCAGCCTTGGAACCGAAACAAGCGACTCATCCTCGCAGTATTGCCACTGTTCGATTTCATGACTATTTACGATTTCTATGGTTACGTCAGTGTGCCAGCTAGCATGCAAATCTACGATAGCACGATAAAAAGCGTCCTTTATCTGGGCCGTTCAGGATTTCAGTCCAATTGTAATCGCAGTGGAGGGAAAAAATAAGGTAAAATTCAGAGCTTGATTGGTCCGCGTGTAGCAGAAAGGAACCATGCCACATCAGATATTGCCAAATTTAACTAAAGAATACAATTTTTTCAAGAGCACGTCCACGCGGATTCTTTTGAAAATTGGTTGTAATTTGCTTCGTACCTACTATGCAGAGAATTGACTGAAATATTCACAAAAATCTGCTCAACCATTATCATGTTAAAAATGAAATTTCCCTCTTAAATTTGGCAAAAGCTGATGTGGCTTGGTCCCTTTCTGCATAGCGCGGTCCGATTTGGAAATTAGCGAGCCTACTCTCTTCATATACCTTCAGTAGAGCGTTAATTCTTCGCCCCCTCTGACGTACATACTGAACCTTCAGACGTTGCCACATTTTCTTTAGACATAACACGAATTTCCTGGTGAACTTATGAATATTTTTCTTCCATTTTTTTCAGATAAGTTTGTTTGCACTTCGTACACATTGGTTTCTGAAAATTTCATAGAAAAATATTCATTACTTATCTCAAATATAAACATTGTATCGGAGGAAATTTGGCAACGCCTGATGGTTCATGCGGCGTTTTTCCTTAAAATGGCAACATAAAGGCGCATCTCAATTTCCACGTGAGCCCCGTTTTACATTAATATTAATGCCGTCTGGAGCTCATGCGGACATCAAAATATGCCCTTACGCCAGAGGAGCGACGATTTGAAGGAATCAGTACTGGAATACTGGTGTCGAAATACAATTTTCAAGTCGTATTTTTCCCCAAAATTTGAAATACACAATCACCATTCTCCCTCGGTGTAAGTAAACAGCCACAATGATTTAAACAATAGTAGGTTTGTGTGGAGTGGGTCCCGCGGTTCCTTGTTGTCTTTGCTAGTGTTGTAAAAAAAAACTGTCGCGCATGCCATTAAAACTTCATATCAAAACTTGTAATGTCATTTCATAAAATTTTGAGGTGACCCTAAATTTTTAGTATGATCGACTTTAATTAGTAGAACGCCAGCATGAACTGACAAATCGAGACTATCAATTGACGTCTTTATATTTTGATTTTCTTGATAATGGCTCCCGTTTTTTGAATTTCGTCTCGTAAATTTAAATTGTAAGTAATTTTGAAAAGAACTGTTCTTAAAGCAGCTGAGACAGTTTGCTGGAGATTAAGAAATCATTTGAAGATTTAAGTTTTACAATAAAGAGGAATAAAATAGATAAGTAACAGTACCTACTTTCGTGAGATTGATCAAACTTTTTTTCCTTCTTATCTTTTAGCAAAAGAAAACAGGAGAAGAGGAAAGAAATGTATTGAAGGTAGGTAATCGAAGTAAGTTGAACGCGTAAGACCGACTTTTTTATCCGCTTTTGGACTCACGAGTGGATTTTAGACGGCGACGACAGAACTCGGATAGGGGTCCGACAACGCTCAAATTTTGAGGACGGGCCTGAGGACTTGACAACCGATAAGTTCAACGCACAAAACGCAGCTGATAATGGAGTTATGTCGTTTCAGTTTCATATCCGTCAGCAGCTTGTCGGGATATGTTATATATTTTCAATTCAATACTGTCAAGAACTCACATCTAGCATTCTAGAACGGCGGCGTTGAAATCGAGCATTGATGTTGATTCCAGATATGCTGGTTGAGGAATCGATTTAAATTGTGACGAATTAAAAGCCTTACCGCGAGCTGATAAAATTGTCCTGAATCATGTACCTAAATTAAAATAGTGGTTTCTGGGAAAGAATTATAGATATAAGTTTGATATACTATTTTCACGGTTGAAAATTAATTAATCAAAATGAGAATTCACGCGATTTAAGTAATAGTATAAAAAACTTTAAACCGCTACAACTTATCTTTGGGTTACTTAAGTAGAAACTAAAATTTGTCAGCCGAGAACTTCTTTTTTTTTATTTTACCTATTTTGAGAAATTTCTTGATTGAAAAAACATTCCATGCTTTGGGTACTTTCCACGTGGGCATGTTCTTAGTCAAAAAATTAAAGTAGGTACTGAATTGGTAACAAACGGTCACAGAGTATTTTTACAACTTGATGAGCTCGAAAAAAAAAAAAAAAAATGACGACGATCCTTTAGTTTTTGATTAGAATGGAAAACACGTGCATCATTCTGAATGGAAAAATTAAATATTTAAATAAACGCTGAGAGAGGTTCCAAATTTTTGAGACTTCTTTATCTTTCAAACATTAAAGTATCAAAAAAGCTTATAGCACGCAATTCATCTAAGGAATATAAGGCTGAAATTTAAATTCGTTGCATATTAAGGAAACATAAAGTCTAATATCAAAAGGCGGGGAGGTGCAATTTCAACGTCAATGTGATTTTCATCGGATTCTTTCTTAGAAATTTGCCCTCAGGTATCTGATTTTTTCTTTCGAAGGCCCCATTTAATTTTAAAAAAATAAATCGACGGTGCAAGTCGGCAATCACATAACTCGTTTGCGGTGTCTGAAAATCTCCGCAACTATGTTATTTTTTCAAAGGAGAACAAATGGACATGATTCCTTGAAGTTTTTGCAGAATTTTCCTCGCACATAGAAGAAAAATCACGGAAGTTTTAAAGAATTACCGTTGAGTAGTTTTCCGTTTAAAAAATAAAGTATGACAGGAAGTCTGCGACGTCGCAAACCGAGTTATGAGATTGCAGACTTTCACCGTCGAAATATAGGTACAATTATTAGGTACTTAATTCAGGTACGCTAAAAACTCATTGAGCTTATGGAAAACGAAGCTGGTTAAATACATGTGCAGTTTCGACTGCGCCGGCGTGATTTTGGTCATAGCATACACTTAACCAAAAAAGAGACCTGTATTTTTCTTCTCTTTTCATGAAATCATAATCCAGTCGAGGAGCCAGAGGCACGAGAGTGTGCAGTGAATAAATAATATGAAAGTAGAGAAATAAAAAAACAAATACCCAGGCAACTTCTTCGATTGGAAACTGCAAATTTAAGATGAAAATGGTAAAGTGAACTCTGCAATCTCCATTATTACAACACCGCTTCATTACTTTCACGACCATGTGATAATAATTCAAACTTGTTTTTCATCTTTACGATTTTTTTTCTCTCTAAATCGGACGAGTGCTCCATGTAATAAATCATACCTACCAATAAGTCTGTAAGAAAAGTCTGAGATAAGTTGCATCTTCAGTTAAAAAACATGAGGACGCTGAGAGTAATCTACTTTCATCAAGCTGGTTTTCCAGCCGGCGCCGGCTAACTTCAGCCTGGCTCCAGCTGACTTCAAAGCCAGGGTTACACAATCAAACTGAAGCTGGCAAACTAGCGAGGCCACTGCCACTGTACAGTAAGGTCTTCGCGCGCCAATCAGAGAACAGTGCTATCAAATTACTGCGGCCAGGCAATGGCCACTAATGGCCAAGCCCTGAGGCTTGGGAATAAGACGTTTCTTATTATACTGTTGAAAACCATAAACCACGACGTTCAGTAATAAACCACAAACATCCACGAAGTTTAATGAAAAATCTGCTGATTCCAATGTTTTCACCAGCCAGAGGAGTAGATAAGAGAAGTGATTCCTACCGAAACTAGATCCATCCAGCAGGATCAGGGCAATCAGTGCGACATACGTTAATTTCCATAAGCAGCATGAGTGTGGAGAATATGCTGGACACATTATGAACACCAACTATACCATAATTCACTTACACAAAAACCACTTTCGAAATCATCGGAAACATTTATGAAATGCAAACACTTTGGATTCCGTCACATCACATTGTTATCACCGAATGAGTAGATCCACAGGTAGTTTTCCACCGTCTTGAAGTCACAAGGGAGAGTCAACGATAACACAGCAAACTCAGCTAATAAAAGAAACACAACTCTGAGCCGGGCACAGAGTTTCAACGTCAGTTTAAGGTTAACAGGAGAGAAACAAAACACGCGGAAACTCAATACGTTCGGGAACCGGCCGACCCACAGTCTCCCCTCGCGACAATCGAAACGAAACTAACTCAAATTGGCAGACTTCGCCTTCGCCGCGGCATCCCGCTACACAGCGCCACCGTCATTCGCTCGCTCGCGCCGCCAGACGGCCGCCGCACAGTGGACCGCCGCGCCGCACAGTGGACCAAAGAATTAGTGGAGATCGAGCTTGAGATTTTTTAATGAAATTGCAAATTTTGGTGTTTATTTCAATTGGTGTTAACTTTACGGAGTGCCTCCCGAGGAAAATTTAACAAAAGCAACGGAACTACTTGTTAACTTCTTCATTTTTTGTCAACAAAAATATAAGCTTTTAATGATTTTTTCACTTGTCCGGTTTCTCCCACTGACTCGCTTCGCTGTGCGCCGCGCCACCCGCGCGCATTGCCTTCCTCATTTCATTCTTTCACCCCCTTTTATCTTACTCCGTGCCTGGTGTCAGGTGTGTTGTTAATTTGATTACCTCTGTATCAATAAGGGTGCTCCAAATACTTTGATCTTAAAACTTCGCACACCGGTCAGGTTGACATGGTGTGCTCCTGGTCTGTATGCCGTCAGATAAAATAACCGGCGCTCCGCTCCAAGCCTGTTTTTTNTTTTTTTTTTTTTTTTTTTTTTTTTTTTTTTTTTTTTTTTTTTTTTTTTTTTTTTTTTTTCTTTCTTGAGGGGAGCGCCCCCGAAAGCACCCTAGGTTTCTTCAGGCTTTCATGCTTATTTAATTGTTTCTTCTTATTAAGTGACCCGCGCATCCTCCACGGAAAGCGAGTGTTTTGCCCGAATAAGTGGCTGTACCGATTTCGCTGCATATCAATACGAAACCAGTCCNGGGGGGGGGGGGGGGAGCTATCCTTCGAGTACATCATATAGTATTGTCTTCGGAAAATAAACTAAAGACGGAGGACTTTCTACTATGTTTCCAATTTGTCAGAGATATTCAATTTTTTACCGATGAGCCATTGCATGAGCGTAACTATTATGGGGCCAGGCGGGCCTGCCTCTCTCCAGATATATTTACCCAGCTCCTCCCAAGAAAATTGAGGGATTTTGTTACATAAGTGTGACAAACTTTTCACGTTAGACATAATAATTTGATCAATTCGTAGGCAAGAACAGCTCAAAACTGCTCCTTATACGGCTCAAAATTTCAGAATAAACAAGTCATTCATTTTTTCACCTGCTATACCGAATTCATTGATTCGCCGCCCCCAATTTGCCGCCATGAGATGCGACCCACGTGCCCCCCCNNNNCCCCCCCCCCAAAAAAAAAAAAAAATTGGCCTTGTTGAGATGATATTATAATTCTTTTCGGGACGAGTCACCTCTTAATTTGAGCATATATCCTTGCCTCACCTATGCGCACTCGGAAGGAGGATTTTAGTTTGCTGAAGAGCCCTATGTATAACCTTGATCTATAATTTTCTCTTTTTTTTAAGAAACACTGTATGGATTTGAAACCCGTATTATATTTCAAATGTTGTTGGGTTTAGAATTTGTTTAACAAATAACAGAATTGTGAGTCTAAGTGACTGTTTAAATGACTGTTTGATGATGGGCATTTAATAAGAATGCACTCTTTACAATTGCCTGCAGCTTTGATTGCATTCGCATGCAATGAATAGCTCTGCATCTCAAGTAAGTTGCACTATCACACTGAACCAGTTTTTAAGTACTTTTAAGTATCTAGGTAAATATATTTCAAGTACCGATTTAGTAATATGGTCGTACCCTCCTGTTTTGACCATCCTTCCTGGACGCAAAAAGACACTCCCTTGATATGATATGTTTGATGAACTTAAAATAGCCTCATTTGAGATCTCCCCAGGAAACTGAGGAGCCTTAATGTAATTAAATTTGGAGAGGAAAAGCCGAATGTAATTACAACGCGAGAGGACATTAAGAAATGAAAAAAAGAAAAATAAATAAAGATGAGAGAGATGTTATATGAGTGATAAAAATTTGTCGAGTTTTGACTCTGGAGATGGCAGAGAAGGGTTTGGAGGAGATTGGTTCAAAGCAAAAGAAGTTTGAGGGGTCCGCTGGAAACTTTGAAAAGTTACAATGCGACAAGTTGAAAAGGACCTCTGAGGGAGCAATTTTATTAAGACGAGCGATGGAGCTGCCACAGAGGCGGGGAAATATCAGAGATGGAAAAGGAATTGATAATTAATTAGTATGTTATGACGGGACCAATGAATACCAGGATACTCGTGAAAAGATTGTCAAGTTTTTAAGGAAATACGGAATTTTCTTGGTGTAAGTGAGGCCTGTATCCATGTTAAAACGACAGCTGTGGATGCGACTGTCCATTTTAATCATAACCATCAAAGGTTTCTGCGAGTGTCATTCAAGTTACAAATATTCATGGGCAAAGCCTCGTTAATATTCTCCCGACAAAAAGCAACCCCCCTCCCTTCTGCGCCCCCCAAACAGGCGAGTTTCTCTTTCGAATGTGCTGAATGGAATCATGTTGAGGCCACGCAGCATACTACGCCTCAGGCCGAATCAAAGGACAATTTGTGCGGCGCTTCTATTAACGCGGGTTTATTCACTAAATTTCAAATTAGCGCCAGCCAACGTAGCCTTACCATCAATTCGACGTTTAATTTTGTTGAAAACGTAAGCACGGATGAACTCCTCAAATTTGAAAAGGACTCTCGTAAAATTAAACCCATTGAACGGGAACCGAAAGCTTTCCATTTCGCCAGACCTTTCCTCTTTTTTCAGGATAAGAGCCATAGATTTTTTTTTTTTTTAAATTTCATATTATTTGAAGTTATGACGGTGCGCCATTAACGAAACTTTAGAATAATCGTATCTGGTAATTTCTCTGGATGAATTTCACTATCCACCTCTTTGCTATTTTCTGCATGGAATCAACGGGGCATGGTGGGTTCCTATCCCTGAATTACTCACAAAACTTATGGTCCTTTCATCGTATCAGAACTCAATGTGAGGTCTGGCCTTATTATTAAATAAGTTTGCGCGTGGGAAAATTCTTCCATCGTAAAATAAACCGATATCACTACAGTACTCGAATTGCTTGGCGTAGACTCCGGTTTTTCTGAGCAGTTTAAAAATGTGTTCATTGCATTCTGCAGTGCCAAAGGAAAACGCCGTATGAACATTTGAGAGTTGCCAAATTTCTCGTTATGGAAAATGTATTGTTGAGGAAAGGTATGCTTATTTTTCCTTTGAAATTTTCAGATATTGTAGGTTTAATTGCGACCAACTTGTCAGAAAATTTGGAGAAAAACATATTTACGACTTTCCCATTGAATTCGTATTTCCTTAAAGGACATTTGGCATCGTCTGAAGGTTCATACGTCGTTTTTTTCCTTGAGCAGTATTCTACATGTTATTCTGACGAGGAAAACAATTTTGTGCCTCTTAATTTCGAACCAGGTAAAGGTCCATTTTTATTGAGGTGGTAAACGACTAGGCATAGTTTGATCACTGAAGATTTTCGATTCTGTTCGCGTCATGCTCCGATTATCCCTTGTTCTCGCCTGCAAACCAATGGTCACGCTTACGAGTATCGATTGCACCTATCGCAGCTCTTAAAGCCGGTCCTTCCCAAGGAACAAAAAAGTCTTCGGCTAGGGACCAAATGACAAAAAAAATTCTGAACACCCACAGATTAAGATTTCAGGAAAAGCAGGAACGCGAATGGAAGAGAGACAAAAGGGCGGTTCCGCTCCTGATTGTGGAAGAGGATCCAGAAAAGAACGCAGCTTGAGGAAGGAAGGATTTATTACTGATGGGTTACTGTTTTCACGGATTAATGCGGGATTACACATTTTAACATATGCTACCGTATTTTTCCGCATTGGGTTCCTGGTAAGAGGGTCCGATGCCCTCAGTCGGGGGTGAACAGCCTTGAGCCGCCTCCCTGGAGTCTCCTTCCGCGGTAGCAACGAATCCGCGGGGCGCCTGCCAGGTTGCGACATTCTTCCCTAAGTCATTGCATCGGGCGCCTAATTGGGGGTCCTCAAAAATACAGGGATTTTTATAACGATCGCGCGTAAGCGGTGCCTCTGATGACAGAGCTACCGACCCTGAAAATAAAAGACTCATTATGGGCATCAGGCGGAAAAAGAGAAAAAATCGTGGCCTCAGAGCGAAGGTCCGAAGGGATTTTTTAGCCGCGTCGTCAATTTGGTCATCATCCTTGACTGTCTCCACACAGTGAGTTGTCACCCGATGACCAGTGGATCTGATCTCATTTACCTACATTACATGAAAGCACCGTGTTTCCATGTATTAAGTTGAAACTTGTAAGTAACCCGAATACAGACATAATCGCGAGAACGATGCTAGATTCTAACTTTTCCAACTTATCTCAATTGCACTATCAAAATTGTTCTCTACGGGGAGAATCGAGTAAAAGTTACCGGACGTCCCGCAGCGATGGTCTTTAAAAACGCGATGCTTCCGATTGAAGTCGCTCGCTTTTCGGACATCATGCTAAACAGAAATGCGTGATACAACTATATCAACACCTGAGCCGCTCAAATTGTATCCATCGAATTGAAGGCGAACTTGATTTCTCCTTTCGGACATCATGCTAAACAGAAATGCGTGATACAACTATATCAACCCCTGAGCCGCTCAAATTGTATCCATCGAATTGAAGGCGAACTTGATTTCTCATTTCGGTTTTATTTATTCAGATATGAGCGCGAGAGCGATGCTAAATTCTAAATTTTGCAACTTATTTCGAACTTAATATCAAAATATTATTTTCTAAGGAGAATCAAGTAAATGATAATGGACTTTCCGCTGCGAGGATCATTAAAAACACGAAGATTACGACGAAAGTCACACGTCCTCCCGACATCACGCTAAATTAGAAACTCAGGGGTCAACCAAGCCCTCTCGTTAAGCTCGAGGGAAGTTTTCTTAATTTTTTTTTTCTTTCTTTGGGCGACGAACCAAATTTAATTTACAAACAAATCATCCGCTAACGTGATCCTCAAATGACCGGGTAAATTTTGGTGCGAAAAGA